CGCAGCAGCGTTGGCCGCCGCAGTGCGCACCGCCTGGTTGGAGAAGACCCCTGCAGCGAACTCCTCCTGCGCTTTCTGGAAGCTGGCGCCCGTCCGGCGGTACAGAGAGTGGATCTGGAGGAGAGGAGCAGGCTTGGGGTCAATGCCCCAGGCTCCCAATGAGCAGAGCTGTGCCCCTCCACGTCTGTCAAAACCCACCCTCGCCCTCCCAAAGGGGCGTTCTGGCCCCAAGGTTCGATTCCAACTCACCTTTTTCAGCATGATGATGCCCAACACAGCGACTGCTGTGAAGAACGAGGACACCAGGATCATCATCACGGCCACGGCCGTGTTCTTCCGTAGCGCTATCAGGCTCAATATCCAGCCGCTGCAAAACAAGAGGCGGTTGCCCATGGGTTCCCTCCTCCCCACCCACCTCCTCCCTTTCCGGGGCAGCCAGGGCTCCCCGGGGTCAGCACAACGCTCACCTGAACCCCCAGTTGGGGATGCCGATCGCCTGCAGCACGTACATCACGTTCTGGGCAAAGAAGACGAAGAAGAAGACAAAGAAGTTGAATGAACTATCGCTCCTGGGGAGAAAAGAGACAGGTTGAGGTTAGGCCACGCAAAACACCTCTCAAACTTTTCCTGAAAGCAGGGAGCAGGAGGAGAACACAAAGCTCAGCGGAGAATCGCCACGTCCCCCAGACCCAAAGGCCACGAGAAGCTGGGATGCCGACGGTGCAGCACTTGGGGCAAGGGCCTGTTCAACTGAGTGACCCAACGCACCCGGCTTCAAGCACCAGCCATGCGGCCACCTCACCCCGCGGCTAAAAAAAAAAAGCAGGTACGCACCTGAAAGCTTTGTACATCGGCCTGTACCAGCAGACAAAGGAGCAGGGCGTGTAGAGGAGAGCCCAGAGAATGGAGAGGCCGAACCCAGAACCGGATGAGGGCTCCACGCAGAACCAGGCCAGCGAGGACAGGAAGTTCAGGAAGAGAGCAATGGTGCTGGCTGAGAGAGAGGACATCAGTCAGGCTCTCCCCTCCCCACACCAAGGGCTCAGCGCCCCAGAACAGGGCACGTTGGTCGCAAAATCTCCGGAGC